AAGTTATGGATCTTCAGAAAGGGATAGGTTATCCTGGATTATCTGGTGGGCCCTGTAGGGAGCCGCTGGCAGATGTGTCAAAGGCTGGGCATCTGAGGGCACTTGAGGGTACCTGAGGACACAACTCTGTCATTTAGTGCAGGCGCATGACAGACTTTGTTATAATAATAATAAATCAGCATGGATGACCACACACGTACCACCCAGGTATGCAAGGTCACATGCTGTTTTGTCTTACCGTGTTTCAGAAAAGCTGATAAAGACATGAAACCCTTGAGCTCTAGAGCTGGAGTTCCAACTCTCATGCTCTGATGCTGCCCTGATGCTGGAAACAAAAGTTTGGTTTCTCTTTCGTAATGTCTGCTCCACATGGTGTTCTTTTCTTTGGGAACCTTGCCTGACCACACCTCCCTTCAGCCCACCAGCTCAAACAGCCCCTAAATGCCATCTGCTATCATTTGGATCTGGAATTGTCCCCGAAAGACCAAAGGCTTGGTCCCCAGCCTGTGTTGCTATTGGGAGGTGGTAAAAATTTTAAGAGGTGGAGTTGAGTGGGAGAACTTTGGGCCATTGGAAGTATGGCCCTGAAGGAGACTGTGGGTCCCTGGTCCCTGTTTTTCACTCTCTCTTTCATTTCCTGGCCATGAAGTAAACAAGTGGCTCCTCCATGCACCACTACCACCCAGCATGTGCTACCATGGGCCCAAAGCAGTGAGAACAGCAGGTCATGGACTAAAAACCACTCAACCTGTGAGCCAAAACAAACTTTTCTTTTTCTTTCCTTTTTTTTTTTTTTTGGTACCAGGGATCGAACTTGGGACCTTGCGCTTGTGAAGCTAAACTTTTCTTTTTCTAAGGTGCCCATCTTAGGTATTTAGTATAATGACAGAAAGCCGAGAAACACTCCATCACAGTGTCCTTATAAGAGACAGGAGAAGGAGACTTCATATGCACACAGGGAAGGACTTGTAGAGATGGAGGAAAGGTTGGAGTGATGTTGCCACAAGCCGAAGGACCCCTGGAGCCACCAGGAACTGGAAGAGACAAGGAATGGATTCTCCTCCAGTGCCTGCTGAGAGCATATGATCTAGCACAGCTTGATTTTGCCCCAGTGATACTGATTTTGGACGTCTGGCCTCCAGAATTGTGAGATAATAAATTTCAGTTATTTTAAACCACCAAGAGGGAAGTCATCAGTTACAGAACCCATAGGGAATATATAGGAACTGACTTGGCCAAGGCCAAATTGCTAGGAAGTAGAAGTGTTGGGCTGTAAGCATAGCAAGTGTTCAATAAATGTCAGCTGTGATGATGATGATGATGATGATGATGACGATGATGATGATGACTATGCTGCAAACAGAGGCTGAGTTTCTTGAATGAAATGTGAAAAAGGCCATGAACTTCATTCATCTAACCTCTTTCACCTATCCCAACAACTGCTGTTGGGGAGAGACAGGATTTGGTGATTCAGTTTGGAAAGATGCTGTTAACTCTGGGTGGAGCTGGTTCGGGAAAATGATGCAATTTTGCAAAGTGAACACCTTGCGCCCACTGAGTCAATTCCAAGGCTTGGAAGTGATGCCACTTGTCCAACTGGTCCTGACAATCAACTTGAGAGGGAGTTTGCAACTCATGGAGAATTATGGTGGCCCAGTTGTCCAAAAGAGGAAGGGGTTCCTCTCTCTCATAATATTTCCCTCACAACACATTATTTTTTTAAAGTTAACTTTCTGTCTTCTTTGGTTCAGAGTAAATATTCAACAAATATTTGTGTGTGTGTATGTCTGCCCTTCTACAGTAAACTGGAGATAGCGACTAATGGCCTATTGATGTCCTATTGTTAAAGCTAGCTTGTGGCTGGGGATTTAGCTCAGTGGTTTTGCCACCTGCAGCACAAGCGCAAGGACCCGGCAAGCGCAAGGACCTGAGTTCAATCCCCAGTACCAAAAAAAGAAAAGAAAACATCAGACAAACCCAAACTAGAGGATATTTCAGGAAGCAATTGCCCTGTCCTCATCACAAGTGTCAAGGTCTGCCAGGTGTGGTGGCTCACTCCTGTGATCCCAGCACTCTGGGAGCCTGAGGCAGGAGGATCACAAGTTCAAGCCCAGCTTGGGCAACTTAGTGACTTTAGTGAGACCCTATCTCAAAACAAAAATTAAAGGCTGAGAATATAGATTGGTGTGAAGGCCCTGGGTTTAATCCCTAGTCCCAGAAACAAATAAAGAACAACAACAACAACAAAAAAGTGTCAAGTTCATTTGAGTCCAGGAAAGACTGAGGAATGTTCCAGACTTAAAGGATACTCAAGAAATAGGATAGCTGCATGCAACATGTGATCCTGAACTGGGCCCTTATCCTACAAAGGATATTAGTGGGGCAAACAGCAAACCTTGGATAAGATCTGAGGACAACATGGCAGGAGGGTATCACTGTGCATTTCCTGCACTGGTGGATGAGCTGATTCTGTAGCACGTCTTGTTTGGAGGAAATGCACAGTGACATACTCAGGAGGATGGTGTGTTATGTCAGGAACTTATGTGCAAATGGTTCTGGATAAAGAAAAGTCATTCAGGGCCAGGGATTTAGCTCAGTAGTTCTGCCGCCTGCCTTGAAAGTGCAAGGTCCTGAGTTTGATCCCCCGGTACCAAAAAAGAAAAAGTTATTTGTATTGCACTTGTAACTCTTCTGTAAGCTTGAGATTGTGTCAGAAGAAAAAGGAATACAAAATAAATATTTTATATGGCTTACATAGTATTTAGATTTTTTTGCCCCATCATTTAATAAATAAAGTGATTTTTTTAACCTACAAATCTAGGTTTCAGACTTTCCTTGAGGAATGTGAAAAGCTAACCATCAGGTCAGTGGGTTTTCGAGGTGAGTGGCCTGATAGCATCTTTTAGATGAGTGATGCGGCCTTCACTTCTCCAAAGCCTCCCCACTCCTTAGCATGTCACACCCAACCCACAGCATCTATTTATGCTACCAGCCTGGCACCTGGTACCAGCCCATGCCTGTTGTAGCTGTGGGAAGATGAGAATCCACTCCAGAGCAGGCATTTCACACAGGGCTGGGTCATGAGTGGGCAGGTGGATGGATATCATGGATGAACTTTCAAAACACCTCACCAACCCAGAGCAAGGACCTATCTCAGCACATCAAACTCATATTTTAGGCTAAGATTCTTCTTGTATCAGCTGTGGTTTCTGAATGGCATGACTTGATAGAACAAGTTGAGAATCAAATATCATCTGATGCCAGAGGTTCCCCTTGTGAGCTGTGATCTCTCTATGGAGTTGGTGGAGGCCTCTGAAAGGTGGGTGGGGTTCTGGCACAGAACTGAGGTACTGGGCAGGCTAGGGAGGCTTTGAGGAGGAGATAGTATCGAAGGAGGCCCAAGGCTGTGAGGTTGGGTGGGGTGGGAACAAGCCAAAGGTAGTGGCTTGGGATCCTGTCAGTGGGAGATCTGGCTTGCTGGGGCATGTCACAGTCTGGGTTATGTGCAAGAGATAATGATGGCTTCATTTCTCCTAGGCCCTGTCATTTCCTGATTCTATCTGGCTTGTGCCCTTGGTTTGAAACAATCTCTTCTCTCATCTGTCCCCTGAAACATTAAATTAAAAATATAAAGTTTGGCAGGTATTTTTTTTGGGCATTGGCAATTTCTCATGGCTCTTATTATAAAATGCAAACTCTTTACCACTCCCTGCCCCTCTGACCTGGATCCTATCTTCTACTCATCTTTGGCCCTCCTTGCTTACTCCTCTGCCACCCCCTCTCCTGGTCCCTTTAGTCTCCTGTACACACCAAGGGCTTTGCCACCTTAAAGTCCTGCCTGTGTGCCTCCCACTCTAAGTCTTTAACCTGGGTGCTTCCTACTTCTTCAGATCTCAGCTCAAGAGTCACTTCTTCACAGGTACTATTCCTAACCTTCTACATCCCATCTCAGCCAGTGGGCTTCTGTCACCTTCTGTCATTCTCCATAGCTACATTTCACTATCATTCCACCATTTTGTTTTCTTTATTAATATTCAGCGGTGTCTGAACCACTCTTATTTACATATTTCACTGTTTGTGCCCCTCACTAGAATGTCAGCTTCTCAACAGCAGAGATTTTGCTATATTGCTTATCGCTTTATGGATAGCACAGCACATGGTGCCGAGTAGGGGCATAATGAATATTTATTCTGGCACGAATAAGAGGCTCTGTACAACAGCATGCTGAATTTTTAGATAAACTGAACATTGGTTTTAGGACATAAGCATCTAGGTGAGTCGTGGCTAGATGAATCTGATCGGGCTGTGAGAAGCATGTTCTCCGGGCTGTCGACCTCATGTTAGATTTGGGAAACAAGCAACGTCAGGTGGGTGGTTGAGTTGGATTATAAACTGGGTTTGGTCCACCCAGTAACGTCAGACTGTTGAGGTCAGACTGGACCCCAGATTTGGTGAAACAGGAATCCAGTTGGGCAGTGGGTGAGATAGCTTGCGACCTGAGCAGTGTCCAACAGTTATGAGGTTGCTGAAGGTGAAGAATCAAGCACTCGAGCGTTTCCTCTGGTTGCAGCTATGGAGAACCATAACCCGGGCCCTGTCCAACAAGGTCACTAGGGGCTGTGGGAGGACAGGCCCTGTTTGGGGCGAAGCGGGACGTTCTGAGGAGCGCTGGCTGGCAAGGAGCATAACGTGGATGCTGTGTAGGTTGTGAGCGCGGACAAGATAGGAGCCGGCCGCTGGGTTCCGGGGCCAAGCAGGAGGCGGTAGGAGTCACGCCTGCGAAAAGTTTACCTGGGAGCGGCTCACTTGGGCGGACCGGGACCCAAGAGCCGCGGGCTTCCACATCGCCCCGCCCCCAAGCCAATGGTCGCGCGAAAGCCGCAGGAGGCAGGGGCGGATTGGACGGGCTGGTGCGGCGGCGGGCGCGGATTGGGTGTACGCGGGAGGGGCGGGGCCGCGAGCCCGGGAGTTTAGGCGCTTGGCCGGCGGGCGGCGCTGAGCCCTCGGCTACGAGGGCGCAGCGCTGGCGGAAGTTGCGACGCTGGCGTCCCCGGAGCCTACGGAGGGCGGCAGTGACAGGCCGAGCGCTGACGGCAGCGATTCGGGGGGTGGCGTGGACGCCCGCGGCGCGGGCTGGGGCATCACCGCGGGCCTTGACCCCGAAATGGCGCTGCTGGCGGAGCACCTGCTGAAGCCACTGCCTGCGGACAAGCAGATCGAGACCGGGCCCTTCTTGGAGGCGGTGTCCCACCTGCCACCCTTCTTCGGTGAGCCGGGGTGGGGGTTGGAGGTGGCCTGTTCCCTGATCTTCCCCAAAACATCCCTCCCCTAGACACCCCGAGTACTGTTTCCTACGTCCCGGATCCCCTTCCCTTCCACGCACCCCACATTCTCCCCACCCCAGCCCACTCCCAGATTCTCTCTTCCCAAACATGTTCTAGCTTCCATCTCTTGCCAGACATTCCCAACTCCTCCATCTCCCTCAGACACCTCACATTCCTTCCTGTGCCTTAGATGCACCCCAATCCTCCACTCCGTCAGGCACCCTCAATCGCCCACCTCCCTCAAACATACTTACTCTCGCATCTCCCCCAGACCTGTTCCAAGCCTCTACCCTTCCTCCTAAACGTCCTGCCCCTTCTCTTCCCAAATTCTTCATTGCTCACCCCATCTTTCCTCCCTATCTGAATGGTTCTCATCCCCTCAACGGAAGGGCCTTTAAAATGAATGAATTTTCTCTTCACTCTTCCAGCCTCTCCCTCCTGGGACTCGTGAACTTTTTTCTCAGCATTTCCACATTCTGGAGCAAAGTCCCTCACCACCACCTCCGAGGGTGGAGCAGGGAGGGAGGGGGATTTTGAAGATGGAATTGCAAACGTCTAGGGCCCTTTTCTATGGGAAGTCACCTAAAATTTTTCCTCCATGTAGGACAGGGGTCAGGGTGGGGGGAGCTGTTCCTTGGGGTGATGTTATACTCAAAGTGCTTGGCATGAATCCCTTCCTCATTTTGGGCTCTAAAAGAGGATGACCCCTTCCCCATTTGTCATGTTGAAGAGGTCATGGGAGCTCTGGGAAGGTGGTCCCTAAGCCAGTTTCAGACTCTCTTTCTGCCCTCCCCTTCCCCAGACCAGGCCAGGCCCTGATGGAAAATGGGAAACTGAAGCCAATACCATCTGCCTCTGCCCTTTGCCTTTCCCTACAGTAAAGAGTGCAACCCAAGCCTCTGCTTTCTTCTTGCCATGGGACTCTCCCAGTGTCCTGCCCTGCCCTATAGGAAGATACTGGCATCTGGGACAGAGTCCAGCTGAAGCCCACAGACAGGCAGAACCTATGACTGGCTTGGACTGAAGAGATTTGGCACCTAGGGCAGTCAGTTGCTCTGCCCCTAGTTTATGATCAGGGCTTGTTCAGGGCAGTAGTTCCCATTGAGGGGGTTGTGGCCAGGCTGAGTTATTGCTCAGTTTTCCTCTCCAACTCTTGGGTCTCAGCGTCCCTATCCATGAAATGAGGATGCTGATCGCATTAGCCAGAGGGAGTAAAGGAGGGGGTCTAAGTGCTAACTCAATGCTAGCTGGGCTGGGGGGAGGGGTTTTCTATCTGTAAGTTCCTGGAGGCAGTTTTGGTTCCTTCCCATAGTAGATGATTAATCAATGCTGGGTGAGTGCCCTTGCCTGGTTTGCTTGTCTCAGACCTGGGTCAGCAACCTGAGAGCAAGTCTCTGTCGTTTACATCCACTTCTGTGACCCCAGTGCCTGGAGTGGTGCCTGGCCCATAGCAGGTGCTCAGTCAATACTGTTGAATGTATGAAACTTTCTTAGTAGCTCAGCTTGAGGTAATACTGCATCTCCAGGTGGGTGCTTGGGTGCTAACTTGCTTTACCATTGAGGAATTATTTTTGTAACCAGGTTGTGTTGTGTTGTTTGTTTCCACTTTGGTACTATGAGTATTTGCAAGTCAGAGCCAGCTTGCCCTGGACAGGGATTCAGAATCTGTCTAAGCCAGTGGCTCTCAACTGGGGGCAGTTTTGCCCCTGAGGGGACATCTGTCCATGTTTGGAGACATTTTTGTTTGTCAACACAGTGGGGGTTACTGGATGCTCCAGGGTCCGACAGTGGTGTCATTAAGCACCCTACAGTTCACAGGACTGTGTCCCCACCACAAAGAATGACCTGGCCCCAAATGTCAGCAGTGTCAAGGTGGAAGACCCCAGGTTAAGCTCTGTGCCCTTTTTCCCCCTTACCTTCAACAGAGGTACATGTCAGTTCTGCACTGGGGGGCATATTGGTTGGATGCGATTGTCTGTGCAGTTTGGGAGGAAAGGGAGAGGTGACAGCTGGAGTCTGGAGTCCCTTTTCCTGGCCTCTAAGGACCCTTGTTTCTGCTGAGGTCCTGTGCTGTGGGTGTCACAGCCATGAACAGAAGCACCATTTAGTCAGAAGGCTCAGTGTGGTTGGCCCTCAAGGCGTTAACTGCCTAGGCAGTTCTGCCCACCAGGGCTATTCACTACTCACCAGAAGAGGAGACTTCTTAGCACCCTTAAAAACGAAAGTGATAATCCACTTTGAGCTGTTCTGCTCTTCCAGGAAGAAACTGAGGGTTTCAGACTTTGGTTGGAGGAAGGCTCTTCTACCCTGGCTTTTCTCCAGGGCTCTGAGGTTGATTGGTATCTGCTGTCAGCTCCATTGCAAGGGCTTTGTATAGATTTGCGGAGCGTCTGTCTGGTCACCTGGATGGTCTGGGTGCTGTGTGTATCTCTCCAGTGAAGCTGGTCAGGAGTGATGGGCGTAAGGAGTTGGAGAGGCATTGCAGTGACAGTTTCTTTCAGATCAGGGTTTTTTCATAGTGACACTGCCGACATTAGGGGACATGTCATTCTTGGTGGTGGTGAGGGGCTGTCCTGTGCTTTGTAAGGTGCTAAGCAGCATCCCAGGCCTCTGACTACTAGATGCCAGTAGCACACCCTGTCCTGAAGTTGTGACAACTAAAACTATCTCCAGGGAGGCAAAATCATTCATTGAGAACTATTCAACTTCATTGAGAACTATTGCTTTAGAAATATAAATTCAGTAGAAGATTGAAAGCTGTGTTTTTTAAAAGGTGTTTAATTCTACAAGGGAGATCTATTCATTGAAGGAAAATTGAGCAAAAGCTAATAATGAAGAAGAATACATTGTTTGGATGTGGTCATAATTTTTTAAGCTATCCCCTACTGTTAGACACTCAGGTTGCTTCTTTTTTTTCACTCTGGTAAAAAATGCCGGGCCAAACATCTTTTTTTTTCCTTTTAACAAAACATTTATTTATACATTTTAGGTATACATAATGATAACATTCATCATAAGGGATTTGTACCTGTACATGATGTATCTTCTTTTTTCCCATTCCCCCCACCTCCCTTCGACCCCTCTTCTCCTCCTTATATACAAAAGCTTTGTTTCCATTTTTTCCTTCTATTTTCTTTTTTTCTTGTTCTTTCTCCCTCCCGCCTCCTTGTTCCCCTTCTCATTTGAACATTTTCTTCCCATTTCCCAATATCTGTTCCACATTTAGTCCTTATTTCCACTTTCGGTTTCTCACACCAGAGAAACAATGCGCGCACTAAACATCTTTGTGCATGTTTCTTTGCCCAGTTCTTTATATATTTCTCATTTTTAGAAGTCAGAGGGAGAGTCCCAGGGTGTGAAGGGTTTTAACCTGGTGGAGCAGCCACATTTCTTTAGTCTTTGCAGGGTGTGGTTTGTGACAGACTTGGCTGGGCTTGGAAAAGGCTGATTCTTTCTGCCTCAGTGGGCATGGGCTGTGATCAGCCTCCTGCTCATCTGGTTTAGGTATCCTCCTCTAGGGCTTGCGCTTTCTTCATATCTCTAGCCTGAATCTCTAAAGTTATACAGGTTTTACTACATCCACTCAGAGGCCAGGCCTTTATCCATCTTTTTTCTCTCCCTTGACCCAGTAATTGGATCTTACCTGACTTATCAGTTTGCAAGACTGACTTCTGTGAAGTCTGCTTTCTCATTTTTTTAGGTCAATTATGCAGCTGTCCTGGAGCATTAACAGTTGGGAGATTTAGATGTCATTTAGTCATGTCACTCCCTGCCTAGGGGCCTCAATGGCTCCCTATTACCTTATCCTGAAGTCTATGCTATTGGCTTTCTGAATGGCTAGCAGCCCCACAAATGGCACTTTGCCTCTGGCTCCGAAGCTTTCCTGGCCCCTGTCTTTTTGCTGATGAATCACTCTGCTCTCAGCCCACCCCTTGCTTTTGTCTGGCTGGGTTCCATACCTCCTTAAGGAATTAGCTTATCAGTCACCTCACCCAGAAAGTCTTTTCCAACTCCCCTAGACTCAGAACCTGTCACATTCTGTGACTTTGAGTTATTTCAATGCCTAGCACTTGGTAAGCTAAAATATTTGCTGAATGCTTTTGGTTCCTTCCTGTTCTTCTGAGTTCTTGCTGAAAATGCTTTGCCTTTCTCTCCAAATTAAAATAGATGATTTAATTAAAGCACATGACAAAATTGAAATGTATAACCCCTTTCAAAGCCTGTACTCAGCAGACATTATTAATCAATCATGATACTTTTCCCTTTTGAGCCTACATGCAGCCTTGGTATCTTTTTTTCTTTCTTCCTCTCTTTTCTTTCTATTGTGATAGTGGAGACTGAATTGTGATGTTGGATCTCTATGCACAGAGCTACAACCCTGCCCTCTTTTGTTTTTTATTTCCAGTCAGGGTCTTGTAAATTGCTCAGGCTGGGCTCAAACTTTCAATCCTAGCTGGGTGTGGTACTGCTGTAATCCCAGCAAAGGAGGCAGGAAGATCACTGTGAGTTCAAGGCCAGCCTGAACTACATAGCAAGACCCTGTCTCAAAAACTTGTGATCCTCCTGCCTCAGCCTCCCAGAGTGCTAGGATTACAGACATGCACCACCATGCCTGGCAGCCTTGACATCTTTCTTAACACAACCATTCCAGGTCAATTAGAGTTGGTGCTTGAGATGGCATCTATTTGCCATTACTCTTTAGAAAGAAACCAGAGACAGAGGAGCTAAAGGTAATGATTTCCACCTTTCAGTTCTTGAAATCCCAGTTCTGGAGCTGATGTTTTCATTCATGCCTCTCAGTACCGTTAAGTGGGTGTCAGTAGAATCTGGCCTCATGGGTGCCTGGTACTGATTACACCGTCCTAGAGTGAGCCCAGAAAGAGGTTTTCTGTCACTTTTGATTCATTGGTTGCTCCACTTCGGTAGTCTAGAAGCACAAGTTT